CATTATCTCTTTTGACTCTTTTCTTACTTTTAAAATAGCTTCGTTCGCGGTAAGGATTCTGATTCGAAACTATTTCGCATGCGCAGTTCAAGTAATGGCGTTCGCGGATCACAAAATTCCGCAGCCTTAAGCCTAGTACTCATAACTGCGAAATTCGCATTTTTTTGACATTGCGTCGACATTTTGATGTTTTATGCGTGTATCAATCGTCAAATTGTCAAAGCAATGTCAAAAAAGTGCGAATTTCGCAGTTATGAGTACTAGCAAAGAAACGACCGCAGATAATTGCGCAATAGTTGCTGTCAAATCGCTGCCAAATGCGAGTTTTGCATTAAAAAAAGCAACTTGCGACCGGTTGCTGGTTGCTATGTAATTGCTGTTCGTAGAGAATGAGCCTGCCGAACTTTTAGTTACGGTTCTGGATTCGCGGATCAACCAGAATCGGTTCGGAACCGTTTCTGAACCAGTTCTAGCGGTCCTAGAATTTTAGCAAGACCTTCAGGATTGACACATAACGTTCGTTTACGTAAGTCTGGAGAACTCGTTCCAAAACTGTTCGCGATAAAATAGGTCTGTTCGCACAGAAATCACGCTCGTGGAGAGCCAGTGCAGATTGTTTTGTTTTTGTTTACGTGTACCGTACGCATCAAAACATTCTGCCGCTCAATCTAGCAATATCCCAAAAATCTAACCAATCAAATTCGATGTGGCTATTTTGAGCGGCATAATGTTACTACATGGGGTAGATCAGGGGTCAGAATGTCGGGACGGACTGTTGCACTTGTCCGTTAGAAATGCCGCATGTTTTGTTTTATTTATTTTTTCTCCAAACGTCAAAAAAACATCACTTTGTCAACACCTGTCAAGATGGTAGAAATTCAGTTTCTACGTTGCTAGGCAAATCCAGGAGGTTAACACCTGTCGAGGTGGTAGAAATTTAATTTCTATGCTGCTTGGCAACCCCAGCGGCAGTAAAAGTACTTTTGGTGCCGCTGGAGCGGCAGTAAAAGTACTTTTAGTGCCGCTCGTACTTTTACTGCCGCTCAACCATCCACTTGCCCCCGAGTTTACCCAATTCGTTTGGAGAAAAAATAGTGTGTTGCATACGGAGTAGAAGCACTTTTTTGTGCTTCAGCAGTAAAGCTTCTACTCCTAATACAACAATATACTATTCCGCTTATTGCTCTATTGAAATTATTGCGAAGAAATTTTTGGATAAAACTACCCACAACGTATGTTTATTCTAATGTGAGTGAAAACATTTATCGTGCAAACTTGTTATCCGAAAACGACATAAAAATTTGGATTAAAGATTTACCCCCTCAAATAATAAAAACGGAAAATCAAAAAATTCGGAGCTGAGCAAATATAAAAATTCGTATTAAAATAACAACGAAAAACACGATATTGACTATATACAAGGTGTCTCTCAAGTGATGGTAAATATTTTGACTGCCGATTTTATATACAGGGTGTCCCACGGTGGATGGCGTATTAGACGTTTATGGAGAACTAAAAAGCGGATAATTTTGAAAATTTGGCAACCGGGATAAACGACCATGATCTACACTTTAAAAATATTTTTGACCATGCGGTGTTGCCGCTTCTACTCTAAACTAGTGGCAACATCACTATTTTAAATGGAACACCCCGTATTAAATTGCATATTTGGATTCTACGTAAAATTCTAAGCAGATTTCATGTGATATACCCTATAACTGTTTTGGAAATATTGACAGTTGAAAATTGACTTTTTGCAACTTTGACAGGCTGTATAGGGTATTTCATTTGAAAATATCGGACTTTGGTCGATATCTCGAAATCGGAGCGATATAGAAAAAAACTGAGTACGCCACTGGATTGTGCTCAAAAAAGTGTCTCCATAATGTTTTTACAGAAATAAAAAAAATTGATAAATGAAGAACTTATAGCTATTTTTCATAATAGGGGAAAATCGAAAATCGCCCTGTATCGATGGTACCATTGAAGATATCGTGATACGGTTTTTGGCAATCAACGTTTCTCGAAAATAAATCCCATGACACCTAAGTCAATTTTCCTCTATCTGGTCTGGAAGTATGTTTTTCTTGTTAAAACACTCCAAATTGCAGCACCCTGTACATACATTATACTTACAGGGTGCTAAAACTGCGAATTATGATGAGATAAAAAACTGTTTATTTCATCATAATTCGCATTTGGGATTTATGGAATTTTAAATACATAAGTACATACATATGTACAGGGTGTCCCAGCTTAAACGAAGCAGATGTTTTTCCGGCCAAGATATAATGAATCTAAATTTATCAACTCCTTGTATCCAAAATGGAATATTTCCTAGTTCCTCTGTTTCAATCAAAAAACTAACAATTTAATCAATATATTCATGAAAAAAATCCATAGGGAACACAAATAAAATCTAAATTTCTGAACTGTATGTAACACGTACAAAAGACATAGAGTTTTTAATATCAAACATTGTTTGTTAAATTTAATACTAATGCTCTATCGCCTGTAACATTCTGACCCTGAATCTAGCCGATGCAATAACATTCTGACCCTTTAAATAGCTCCATCATCGTCCCGGCATTCTGACTCCTGATGCAGCGCATGTAGTAACATTATGCCACCCAAAATAGCCACTTCGAATTTGATTGGTCAGGTTTCCGGGCTATGGCTAGATTGGGTGGCAGAATGTTTTGATGCGTACCGTACATAAAAATTTGAAAACATTGCTGCTAATATCTCCAAAGAAAAAGCTTAGGAGGGGCGCCAAAATTTGGACTTGCCTTGAGCGCCGAGGGTTCTAGTTGCGGCCCTGATAAAGATATTTGGGAGAAACTTTCTCGTGATTAATCCTGATTAAAATAACTCTTGAAACTACTCATTGAATTCAGAATATTGTCACGAAGCTTCTCTTGCTCCGCTATATAGCTCAACAATTCACCCTGAAAAGCAGAACGAGGAAGGGAAAGAGAACACCAAAATAACTCTATGTAGATAAATATAATATATTTAATGTCCTAGGGAGATATTACATTTAGAGTAAAACACACAAAGTATTACCATATTGTTATCATCCCGAGCTACCAAGTCCCTTCGGGCTGAAAAGTATCTGAGCACCTGAGCGACTCCGTCGGATATAAGCCCAAGCTTGATCTTTGTGGTCAGCAGCTACTAAGAAAACCAAACTAACATCACAATAGATGCTGAGAAGCTTGTAGTGCAGAGCAGAGTTTGGGTCGTCAGATGAAATCTGCTCGCACAGAGATACGATACGCAATCCCTATTCCCTATTCGGCCGACGGCCAGATAGCTTCCAACTTTGAGACGTGTCTAAAAACCTACTGATACAGAAAAGTGCTGAGACACGACTGATTTGCTTATTTGCCATAGTGTGGCCCGTGGCTTTTATAAATTACTAGCTGACCCGGCGAACTTCGTTCCTCCTCTGAATTATTAAATACCTATTAAATGTTGTGTTAACGTATCTAAAGTGCGTTTTTTTTTAAAGATAAAAGTCAAAATGACATTATGTTGGCAATACAATGTAAAATTGTCAATGCTTTCAAAATTTTTATGTAGAAAAGGCTTGTGTTGCCAACATAATTACTAAATTTTTAAATTGGGAAATTATCTTTAAAAAAAAAACAGATTTTATTAACTGAATTAAATTCAGTTTTTTTCGATGGTGAATTTGGCTTTGGTTGAAGAAAATTAATTTTTACTCTCTGGATCAGAAGTCACCTAAAATTAAAATTTTACATCATCCCTTTTTAGGCATCTTGTGGGCATTATTCTTATAAAGTCTACCACCAAATAAATAAACTCAGGCACAAGAATGTTCAAAAAATGTAAAGAAAACAAAAAAAATCCCCAGCGCAGCCCGGTTTCATTTTATCTGCACTGCAATACTCCATCTGTTCTACTGTATCTGCACTATTTTATCTGATCTACTCTTTCTGCACCACTTTATCTGATCGGAATAGTGGTATAGTTCTGTTTGGAATAGCTCCAGTTCCTTAGCAGTATTCTGTTCTACTGTATCTGCAATGAAATTACCGCACAACGGCGAGCTTCGTTCTAGGTACCTATCATATATGGCGCCGTATACAAAATGGTTGTGGCGGACTCATAACCTGGCTCTCTGCCACTCGACACCAGCCGGACGGAGCACTCCGAACAGTCGCCACGGAACACGGCTGTCAAGGAATGTCTAAGAGGAGAAACGGAACTTAGCCACATAACGTCAATGGTCAAGCGTCAAGAAATGACAGGGAGACCAGTTCGCGCTCTTTCGGAATGAACGAACCAACAACAAAATAAAATACACAATTAAAACATTGTCATTCTATTTATTTTTGGACATTTTTACTGTGAAGAACAATTAAAAATAAGGTGCTTTCCTCAAATTGTTTTTGTGCAAAGTGTGTGACAATAAAATCCACGTCATGGTGTGCAATGAAAATGTGACGGTAAACTTGGTATCGGTTATAAGAGATGGCGCCGTATGCGGGCTTAGTGAGTTTTTTTCATAAATAAGTAAAATAGATATATATATTTTTTATTTTTTTTTCCGGATTTTTTCGATTTATTATCGTAGGATGGACAAAGACAAATCCAATAAAGCAAAAATCATAAAAATCAGTCCAGCCGTTCTCGAGTTATAAGTGCTCAACACCAACACATCTGTGTTTTATATATATAGATATCCAATATTTGCTGACTATAATTAGGTTAATTAGTCTGGTTGTGTTTTCTTGCTTAGTTTCAGTTATTTGTTTTAGCTCGTGGCTCAGTGTATTGAATTTGGTTGTAACCCGTGGTCCTATGTATAGGCAAAGAATGTATAGGGTTGAAAATAATATGCAGGAACCTACGTCCTTTTATAAAATTACTAATAACTGCAAAGTTATTTACTGTGGTCTTTCCCGAAACCTTTTGATAGCTACTTTATAATAAAAATTTTATGTAATTGTACTTCAATTTACTTTAATTTTCAGGAAAACCTTTTTGCATTTCAAGTCCATTTTTCTGGATCGTTACAGTAATATGCACCCACAACCGATTATCATGATGAAATTAAAGTCCAAAAAATTATCTCATCTTAACTACGCTACATTTGGTTCAAAACGAAACAAAATTACTTTTTTAAATACTATATATTACAGAAGATATTTTTGATCTACCTATATCAAGAATCGATAGAAATTATTTAAATGCAAAATCTCTAGAATCTATTAGATATATTTTTTGTGACAATAAAGCTGATTTGATTTGATGTTTTGATTTAAAACTGTAAATGTTCGAAGACTAATTGAAAGATTTGATACAAACCTTCATCTAATAAGAAAAATTAATTCATAAAAAAATTTATAAAAATTTCTATAAAAAAATCATCATAGCTTCCAAAATAACTAAAAAATCTCTTAAAATATCTACAATACTTATTTGTCTACATAGCTTCATCTATTTATTTGTGTTTTATAATATGTATGTATGTTTAATAATAGATATTCCTTTCATATTTCAATTTAAATATATTTTCTACAGCTTCAAAGAATGATAAATGATTTTTCAAAGTTATTCAAGTACAAACTTTTTTGAAAAATGCCTATAATTTTAATTATAATAATATCTAGGTAATTTCATTGGCTGAAGAACTTTCTCTTTGTTATGAAATCAAAAATTTCAATTCTAAAACCCTTGAAACCTTCAATATTTTTTTATAGTTTGCCTTCGACCTAACATATAAAATCAATGATATGTAAAATATTTTCGAAAAAAAAACAAACTATGTAGGTACTTTTAAATTGCCCTCTTCCGAATACTATCTGGACTCACACAGGTCGGTATAGCATTAGACCATTTCCCATTCTTCAAACACTTCAACATTGCGACTCCTTTAAGAATTAGACCTTCTTCGCAAGTAAATGTAATATTTTCTCCGATTTTATAATAGAATTTGACGGATGACATGCGACCGCTGATAGTGGTACCTGGATAAGAACAAGCTTGGACACATTTCGGAATTTTCCCGCTCCACCTGGAATTCTCTTGACAAGCTATAATCGGTTGTCCTTCCATCATATAATCGGGATTGCAATTGAATTGCACCACATCTCCAGCTTTGTAAGGTCCAGAACCTTGAATGTAGCCATTGTCGGGCACTTTGGGTTCGTCACAGTGCACTTCTAAAAGACAAAATATTAAAATTTTAAAATTGATTTATAACAAACAAACCTTCACAAGTTGGAAATGGAGCAGCCCAATCTCCACTGGCTTGGCATATTGTTTCAGAAGGTCCCCGAAGCCCATAACCTGGCGCACAACTGAATACAGCTTTACCAGCTACCTCTCTGGATACCACAAGGACTTTTAGGTGAGGACTTAAGTTGGAGCCCGCGTCTCCACATTCAATACCTAAATTTGCGTAATCAATAAATTTCAATCGGCTTGATAGTGAGAAGGCTTACTTTCACAAACTGGAAAAGGTGCGCTCCAATTTCCAGAAGGCAGACACGTTAATTCTGGAGCGCCGATTAAAGAATTTCCATTGACGCAGTGGAATTTTATTACAGTGTTCATTTTGGTGTTTTGGGTACTTGCCGTTAGGCCACGTCTTTGAGGGATGATGGGACAATGTACAGCTGGAAAAAATATAGCGATTGAATAGAAAAAAATACTTGACCAGTCGTTGAATAGCTATGTCGCGTTTGATCTATAGACGTTTCTCTGTTAAACTCACCTTTAACAACTACTTCTATCGAATGAGTGTATCTAGCTGGTGTAATACAAGTAAATAATCCAGAATCATCTTTTGCGGCATGGAAAATCGACAGTCTGTATTCTAATTGAGAATCACGACCGGGATCGTCAGTCCAACCTTCCGGATATTTTCTGAAAAGAACATTCAACGGTTAATTGATCTCAAAACTTCTTTAGCAAGGGTATGAGTCCAAGAAAATAGTTGATAAGTACAAAAAAATGCTCTGAGGAAAGATGTAGGTATTATAATTATGGTAATAGATGTTACCTGTAATCGTGACTAACGTTCCATTTTGGTATTCCAAACCGCCTTATCCACAAACACTCCATATGAAGAATCGTGCCTGGATATACTATCAGTTTTCCATCGTTGGACTGAGCTATGGGTCCCAATTGATGTCTGAACAGGATCGTTGGTGGTTTTTCCATAGAATAATCATTTTCCTGATTCAAACCGAAACAAGCTGGCTTAGGACCGTCCCACTCGCCACCCATGCATCGTCTTGTTTTAGGACCGACCATAGCATATTTCCCAATATCCATACACCGAGAAACTAGAAGAGCTCCAGCGGGAAATTCAATGACGTCCTCTTTAATCTCTTGGTCATTATAGAACGAGATTACGTTCGGTTCTTGATTCCTGAATACACAAGTGCTGTTGCTGATAATCATTTGAGCAGCCATCAGTTCATCTGCATCTAGAAAATTACGTTTTCGGATGATGCTTTGAAAAAATATTGGAAATATTACCGCAATTTAATGATCTACCAATCCAACTTCCGTCTTCACACACAATTTTCCAGGTAGTTTTCTCGCCCATAATGCTTTCGATACAGTTGAAAGTTACCTCGCTACCGTCTGGGAAGCTACTTTCGTCATCTATCAATGGTTCGCCATTTCGGTATACCAAAGAACCTCTAACTCTGGAAAAGACATTATAATTATCTATTGTTAAAATTTGTATGCTTTCGCTTATATAGATGACGGTATACAGTATACACATGCAATACAAAAATATGAAAAAATATCTACTAACTTTGCAGGTGGCCCACAATGTTTTCCATTAGAACTACCATACTCGATAACAGTTATATCGCCACCTTTAACTATATCTTTTCCCCCCAAATAATGAGTTTCAGGAATAGGTTCCCCGTCTTTTCTACAATATGGACTTTTTGGCTGCAATTCACCCAACAAACATTCCAAGGGTTGAATACTAGACGGCTCATAGTCTTCCTCGCACTGAAAAGTCACTGAGGAGCCATTTGCTATGGTGAGTCCTGCTCTGTATCCAGACATGTATTGACCGTGGTAGATTTTTGGCAATAAGCAAGGAGCTGAAAATAATAATAATTAGTATAAACTAAAGAAAATGTTTACAGTATCTGCACCAGGAGAACATTCTGGAAACATCGTAACCGCCCATTCGCCATGATAGCACCTCATATTGCTTGAACCTTGTACTTCATAGCCTTCCTCACAACTAAACTCCACCACCTCGCCATTTTGAACCTCAGCGGTACTATTAAGAGGTAAATCAAATAATTCCATGGTGATATTTTCATAGTTTTTTTGTTTGTGGAGTTTGTAGATTCCGAAGGAAGTTTCGGGAAGGTAGCATGGAACTGAAAAATTAAAATTTTACTTTTTTTTGCATATTTGATACAAGAGTTTACTTATGTTGCACATAGGTTTATTGGGCTTCCATTTTCCTCTCACACATTTGGCAGTCTTGTTTTCTGCCATATTGGGTATGTAACCTTTGCCACATGCTAATTTTACCACGGTTCCAGAACCATAAGTAGCGTTTAGATCTTTGCCTAGAAATGAAAGTGATAATTCATATATCTATTTATGTTTTTGTGCTGACAGATTACAAATCGCATTACTATGCTAATGACATGCAAGCACTACTACTTCTCATGCTTTCAAGTGACTTGCTAAATATTGTATCAGAGTGATCAATGTATCACCATCGCATTCTCAACAATTAAACAACCCGAATGAATTTTTTTGATAAAAAAAAGGATCATCAGAATGACGTTAATATCATGCTCAAAAAGAAATGGACATCTTTAAATCTTACCATGTTTAACAAATTCAATATTAACAAAAGGTTCATTTTGCAAAGGTTCACAAGGTCCTCCTCTGGTTTTATTATGATGAGCCTTCGGTTTTTTCGTAGAAGTTATTTCGTTGTCTGGATCAGGCAGGCTTTCATCATCACCATCGCTTCTCCCTTTGTTTCCTCGCCTATATGGAAAAAAAAAATACATTTTTCCAAAAATTCTTATACCTATTTGAATCTTACCTCAAACTCAATCCACTTCCTCCAGAATTTTTATGAATCGAACCAACTGCTCTACTCGAACCGCCTCCTTTGAGAGCTCGCTTGGTTCGATATCGGATCTTGCGATTTTGATATTCATTGAAGAACTGTTGCAGTACTGTTTGTCGGGGTTTTCTACTATGTGGTTTCTCCCATTCAGTTTTGTAACCTTTCATTTTGGAAATGTTTCTGTGATCGAACAGTAACGGACCAAAGTCAGAATAACGTTTTGATCTAATTAGCTTTTTGAGTCTGTATGTATAATCTGAAGCATCGGAGTTTCGATAATAAGTTATACTTTTTTTTTGCCTTTTTGGTCTAAGATCTGGTCCATCATAACGCAAGTTTTTTTGTAAATAATCGTAGCCAAAAACAGATTTTTTGGCTCTTAAATGTGGATGATTTTGATATAGTAGAAAAGGTCTAAGATTGTTTATAAAATCTTGATGAATATTCCTTTTCTCTCGTTTCTGATAAATCAATTGGTGATTTCTTATAAAGGCCCTTTTTAATTTTTCAATTGCTATAGACCTTCTACGTCTGTTGAAGCGGAATCTTGGATGCTCACCTGGCAAGCATCTGAAACAAAATAACTATTAGTAGGAAAAAAATCTAAATTCTTTGACAAAAATTACTTTGGTAATTCTTTGGGACTCCATTGTCCACCAACACATGTAGCACCAGGAGCACCCTCAGCCAAAATATACCCTTTTTCACAATCGTACATAATTTGTTTATTATTGGCCACTTTTTTCACGTAAGGCCTATAATCGTACAAACCCATATTGCCTACTAGAAGGATTTTACCGTTTTCCACGAAGCCTGGATACGGGCAAAATACCTCATCGCAACGTGGCGGCACACCGGACCAATTTCCAAAAAAGCATTCCATAAACTCGGGGCCTTTTATCTCGTAACCATCTTTGCATCGGAATTTGGCTTTCATGCCGTGCTTCATTTCTGGTGCTGACACCATACCGTGTCTTGGGGATTTCGGCAAAGTTTGGCATCTACAATAATAGTAAATCATGAAAGAATTTTAATGAAAAATGATGCAAGAGGATACCTATGGGTGAAGATCGGATATCAACAAAAAATTAGGCTTCATTTGAAGTTTTTTGGCCATTATCAATAAAATAATAATGGAGTTTTTTTTTTTTTTAAATTACATATTTGATTAGCTTCGTGTTCATGTGAAGAGGAACGATCAACGACGACATTTAAAGAAATTAGAAATCGGATTACCTATACTATTAAGCCACTTCATCGAAAGTTGAGAATTTTTAGATATGGTTTCTTCATTTATCCTCCAAAGATTTCCTGGATTACAGAACAGTAGCTGAGGAAGGAGTAGCTAACAATACTAGCCAAAGTCAAAGAAGGACTAGAACAGAGAAGATGGAAGTAACTTTGATTAACTTACCTACCTCCCAAAGATCTAATTTTGGAAAAAATATTTTCTTGTCATCATCAATCATCATTGGAGATCTCAACAGCAAAGCTTTAGTTGGAAATTTCAAGATTCGAAATACCAAGGGAGATAGATACTCCACGGAGTACACGAAAGCAAAGCTAAGAAAACACCTCAAATCTATTGATCAGCTTTTTCAAATTTACAAGTAGGCAAGAAAATCATCCCAGTGATTCACAGCATCGGATAACTGGAAAAAGAAGAGACATTGAGGCTAACATCGGTCATCAAACCGAAAAAGAAATTATCAGAAGCTGCCCTCAAGTTTCAAGCGAACACTTTCTGGCCTTTATATAAGGATCAGCTCGAAGAGGGCTTGATTGCTTTCAACGCCAACCCGAGCGAAATCACAGATATCGACTTTTATGTGTGAACCAACTTCATAGTGCTTTCATAACTGCTTATATGAAGACAACTGCCATCTCAAGATCAAAGGAACCAAGAAGGAAATACCATGGTGGAATAGTCACTTAGCTTACCTGAGGACCAACACTAGGATACTATTCAACAGGGCGAAATTCACTGGCAACAGGGAGAGCTATGCCCGATCGCTAAACGAATATAATAAAGCCCTAAGGAAGGCTGAAAGGGACTCCTGGAGAAGCCTCTGCGGAGAAGTGGCATCCACTTCGGAAACCGCACGTGTTCACCGAATTCTCCAGAAGGACAATAACAACTCAGTCGGGGTAATCAGGAAATCGACAGATCGCCTACCAGAACCCAACCTGCCGAACAGGGCGGGAAGGAATGATTGGAGAGTAGCAGCCGTCACGACAAAATCAAATGGGCCGTCAGCATATTTGAACCCTACAAGTCACCGGGGCCTAATGGAATCTATCCGGCTCTTCTGCAGCGGGGACTAGACATACTAACCTTACATCTTTGTAGTAGCTTTCGAGCATTCATTGCCACGGGCTATGTGCCAGGAGCATAAAGGACAGCGAAAGCAGTCTTTCTCCCAAAACCGGGACAGCAAACATATATACACGGAATCATATTGACCCATCAGCCTTTCAAGCTTCCTATACTGAAAACGCTGGAGAAACTGGAATAGATAGGCACTTAAGGCTTTTGCAATTCCCTCTATGCAAACAAAAACATGCCTACCAACCAGAGAAATCATGTGACAGCGTCTCACAACCTCGTTGGGAGGGTCGAAACCGCGAGCCATGCGAGCCTTTGTAGGTAGATATACAAGCTGCCTTCGATAACGCAACATTTGATACGATGGTCACTGCCGCAGCAAAACATGGAGTCGACAACACTACCTGCAGGTGGATACACAACAGGCTTAAGTACCGGCCAGGTAAAGTTAATATATATGAAGACACCGTAGAAGCTGACGTTACCTACTCGAGGATGCCCTCAAGGCGGCGTTCCATCGCCACTTCTATAGAACCTGATGGTAGATGAGTTGCTCGTGCGTCTCAAGTCACAGGGATTTTACGCCCAATGGTATGCAGCCAATGTAGCGGTATTCGTTCATGGAGAACATCCCACGGTCATAGCAGAAGTTATGCAAACAGCTCGATAGCTGTACAGGGTGCTTTTTTATCTTTACAGGTAGAAGAAAGGTGTACATACAAAAGTGGTACAGTTTTGGCTAAATTTTTAGAATCCATGGTCCGAAACAGAAATTGAATGACAGAAATGTGAAATCTTGCATACTTTCAGCTTTTTCCAAATGGGATGCCCTATATTTGGTTCTATATTCTTGAAGAGCACAATGCCCCGATTCCAAAAATATATAGTTTGTCTATATTTGGTTTAGCAGTCTTTTATATATTCGGTTTCACAAATTGTGAAAATACTATCCTATCTGGGTCCCGATTCTCGTCTCAGGGAGAGGAGAGATCCCCGAGAGAACAAGTTTTTCGTCTTTATCATTCTCGTTCACTTTTCGATTACGTTGACAAGGACAAAAAATTCGTTCTTTCGGGGAGCTCTACTCCCAGGGACGAGAATCGGGTCCCTGACTGATTTTGCGAACCATTCTACCTGTACAATTGAAAGCTGCAGGTAAAATTTGAGGTAGGTACTTTGTTTCTCTGATAGTATTTTTAAAATTTTTATTGCCAAATATGTTGGAGACGGCTCAACCAAATATAGACAAACTATATTTTTGAAATCGGGAAAATGTGCTCTTCAAGAATATAGAACCAAATATAGGGCATCCTATTTAAAAAAAAGCTGAATGCATGCAACATTTCACATTTTTGATATTCAATTTTTGTTTTTGACCATGGATTCTAAAAATTCAGCCAAAACTGTACAACTTTTGTATTTACACCTTTCTTCTACTTTTAAAGGTGAAGGCTGTAAATAGGTGGGGTGTCAATACATAAAAAAACACCCTGTACAACACTGGTGCGAGCCGAATGCATTTTTAGTTGGAAAAGAGCACGAGTGCACGTAGTGCACGAGTGCCTTTTCAGTTAAAAACGCGTGCGAAGTTGTCAAAAATTATAAATATATTTCCTTTGCACGAGTTGTATTTCATGAGAGAATTTCATGGATCAAAACTTGGTGGTGGTGGTGCCCAAGCAATTCAAACAATCCATAATAACCTATCTGTAAGACTGGCGAGCCTAATTTAATTAACAATTATAGACCCATTAACCTTATTAATAATGTACCTAGTAAAAAATTTTGAAAAGTGCCTGAGAGAAAGGTTAACTGACTACTTGAAAGCAAACGACCTATTGCAAAAGAATCAATTTGGATTTAATAAGGGGCCTCAACTCCAGTGATGCTGTACACGAACTCATTTCACATGTGGCGGATGAGATGAATGACAACCAAAAATGTATAGCTTTTTTTCTTGACTTGGCTAAGGCGTTTGACACAGTGTCCCACCAAAACTTTCTCTATGTGCTTGAACACATTGGAATTCATGGTACTGTGCTGGACGTCTTTAGAAACTATACTTGGTCGGCAGAGTTCAGCAGGTTAGAATAAGGATTCAAGGAAAAGTCATATCATATGCTGACGATACTGCCATTGCGTTTACTGGCGAAACCTGGATGAATGTAAGGACAAATGCCCTGAATGTCTAGATAGGGATTGAATTGGTCAAAAATTGGTTGGACGTTTTCAAACTATCATTGAATGAATTATATTACTTTCTTTAGGACAACAGTCGACCGACCAACATTAATAAATTGTCTTGCCATAATAGGGAAAGGATTATAATAGTTGACGAAGTGAAATACTGTAACAAAACGGCCCTAAAAATCCTTTTATTTTGCTTCGTAATACAATTAATTGGTTTCTTTTCCCAGCCAGATTAATTCGCTAAATTTCTGACGAAACCATGTCCAGAGTCAAGGGTTATCAATCGGATCCCGAAATAGTGTCCTGATTATGTCTTAAAATACGACTTTCGACTCATGGTTCCATGGAAAACAACCGCATGTTTCGCAACCGATAAAAATCCTAAAAGCGTCATCAAGCTGCCAATATAAATAAGCTGGTGAATCTGCTAGATTGATTCAGTTTTGTAACGAAGTTCTGGTGCTTAGTGTGGACGTCTTTCTGCTGACTCTCTTTCCGAGATCTTAGATAATGTTTCAGTTTCAAGTATTTTAATTTAACCATCATGATTGTTGTTTTCTGTCTATTATTTATTTTCTCCGCTGTGTAAAGAACAAAACCATTGGGTTAGCTTCACAACTCAAATCTTCTTTCCAACATGTATCTTACCCTGAATAACAAGGCCGTTTTGTCATTCCCTTGTCGAGGACGCCCGTGACTTTTACCCACTAAGAATTATGACCTAGTCTTTCTTTTCTGTATCTTTTAATCTTTAATTTATCATGTAACTTGTACCATCAAGGACCGCCCTATAAAGGACGCTCATTGATTTCACTCTCTATCATTCCAAATCTGCGTATGTATTTTCTTTCATTTCATTTCAATAAACATTGGTAATAACCTACTGTATATTATTTGCTTTTCTTTCATTTCCTTACCAAGATTTACCATTTGTTTAATAAACCATTGTTAGAGTTTAGTAAGAAAAACTGATTCTTTTATTTCCTTTGGAAAACCCCGAGCTAGCATGCCAACTAACTGCGTACAGCTTAGGTAGCAAGAACCCGCACTGGAAGAGGCGATCTAATCAGATTACCTACTAGAATGAATCCGCTCAAAGTTACCTAGATTTTCAGTGGGACTATAAACAAAGTCCTTGGTGGCACTCTACCGCAGTACAAAAAGGCCCCTACAAGCGCTAAAACAAAGTCTCCCTTACTCGCCCGTCATATCCAGTTGGCGGCGGTAACAATACCTAGGTCTTATCCTGGTATCCAAGTTAATATGAAACTAACATCTAGAGAAAAACCTCAAAGCAAACATGTGTCTAATAAGATGCAGAAGTCTGTTGAGAAAAACATAGGATCTGAGACCAAGGATGATCCTATCGCTGTACGCTATGGTTATCAGGCTCACGGTTGTATACGGAGTTGCAATATGATGCATAAAAGCACAAGTAACGACGGTCAATAAACTGCATAGCCTTCAGGGACTGGCATGTCTGTGCACCACCAAGGCTATAAAAAGTACACCCACTGCAGCGCTGGAAGGAATTCTGGGGCCCACCGGATGAAGGCTGCCGGGACATGGAGATAAATACCAGACAACTACGGCGACACAAAGTTGATGAACCTGACGATAACATAGTGGAAATGCAAACGTATCAAATGGTTGTTACCCATAAGTTTGGAAAGCCGTTCAAACTCATATGCGATCCAAGCATATAGCAGGAAGGAAAGCCTTACATAACCGAGGCACTTTAAATGCAAATTTACATTGAAAATGCCGAGCGACTGAAAAGCGGTGAGCGTTTTCGAGAACGAGAATACCGGCCCTGGTCTGGTATACAGACGGCTCCAAAACAGCGAATGGAACTGGTGCTGGCGTATTTGGAGAAAGACCGAGTTCAGAACAAAGCATCTCTCTGGGGCTTAATGCCACAGTACCAGGCAGAAAATCATGCAATTCAAGCATGCGCACAGAAGATACTAAGGCTGGGTTATAACAACCAGAACATAAGTATTTTCTCAGTCAGGGTGGTCTAAAAGCTTTGAACTCACATCGTACTTCGAAAATAAAGATGGAATGCCTATATCAGATGAAAGCTCTGTCGTCAAGGGATAACAGGATAGAGCTCCTATGGGGTTCCTCCTGATGGGCTGACGAACTGGCCAGAGCGGGCGCAGCTGCAACCTATACAAGACCAGAACCCGCATTTGGGATATTGAAGCCGGTTATGAAGACTGCAGTTGAAAGGTGGTCGAACAATCAACATTTCGACTATTGGCGGTCCATATCTGAAGCAAGACACTCAGAGGGGAAAATTGGAAACCCCTCAACGATGCTAACAGCTGAAGTTCTTCAGGAACGCGTAGGTACTCAGATAAGATAGGTGGTAGGACTACTAACAGGACACTGCCATCTTGAAACGCACATACATAAAATCATTGTGAAGCACTGGCTCGCAATTTATTCGGAGGAATACCACGCGGCGAGAGCTCTCGCATAAAAAACTTATTAGCAAGCTGCTAGATCTTATCAAACAGACGGAACTTGCTTAAGCAAGATGAGGGGTAGCACAATAAGCCTTAAGGCTGCAGTGCAAATCGAGACGCGTGCACACCTGACCCCGCATCAAACCAATCAACCAAAGCTACCGTCGCTAAAGTCCAGGAATAGAAGATGAAATAGGAAACTAGGAGAAATTAACGAAAATGATCACTGCATGGAAAATGCAGTAGCGATCCAAAACCTAGAGGACAATCGTAAATTTTCAATTAGATACTAACTTTTATTACTAGTCAAGTTCTGGCATCTATCTCTAGTTAACTTCCCCTACCTATATCTACAGACTACTATAGTACTAGTAAAGAAACTCTTGCAAAAAAAACAACGGAAGGACAAGCACAGATGATTAAAAGGTAAAATCCCTCGCAATCATAAGTCGAACACGTCATCAAGGGATTACATAGGAAACGACAACTGAAGCTGTCTTGCTAGATGTCGACCAAGTCTGCCATCACGGACTAATATGCAAAATGATTCAAGCCGCTTATCCACCAAAAACTTGCAAATTAGTTTAGAACTTAACAGGTAAAACCTCCTCTGCTCAAATTAGCAAATATCATTCAAGAACTAGAGAAATGGGAGCGGTCAATCTAAATACATATAGGAAATGAATATTCGCACAAAGAACAGAATGGATAAGGGAAGATCAAGACCAACCCCACGAAGACCTATAAGCCGAAGGAAAGCATTTACCATGGATGGACGATTTAAATCAACAGAAGCGAATTTCCTTCTTAGATCGTTGATCGTTTCCTCTAACAGCCCCTCGAGAAAGTTTTCGGTACCGACTAATTTTATCAGCAGTTTATTTGTTTGTTGATCTGTCTCATACCCGCAAACCAGATCAAAACAATAGTAAGTTTGTTCTACAAAAATCTACAATGATCCTTACTTTGCAGGTTCACACTTAGGCATCTGAGTCCAAGTCCCGTTATTGCAAGTGACATTCAACAGCGTGGAAATAAACTCGTACTTTGGATCACAATCTACAGTTAAAATTTCACCGTGCGTCACCACTGTAGATGTAGGAGCAGTATCGTTCCTTGACAGTAGAATAACTCGTCCTTTGGTCACGTGAGGCACAACGCACGGAGCTAAGCATCTAGGCAAAGCGTATCTCCATTTTCCGTCGATTTGACAGACTGTGGACGAGTTGCCTTCTAGAAGCATACCTTCGTGACACCGGAATATTATGGAGGCTCCTAGACCTGTACCACCTTCGATGTTTTCTAACCAGCCGTTCCAGAGACGACCCGGATGACCACAGTTGATTTCTGTTTTGAAAAAATACTAGTTCTAGTTGAAAAGTAAACTAAACAAGAAGTTATATCATTATGAGTTTACCTTTGCAAACAGGTTGAGCACCGCTCCATTTCCGATCAGCACCGCATCGTCTCGTACTCTCCCCAATCAGCGTGTAGCCGTATTTGCACTCGTACCGTACCACCGAATTGTACGAGCAAGAAGTGTAAATTGCCTTTCCGTGTCTTGGATTCTCAGGCGGTGGACACTGGACCGCAGTAACCACTACGCAGCATCGACCAGTTAATAAAATACAGTTGGTTTTTTTAGGGGTTACAGGGTTGCATTTGATGGCACTAAGGGTCTAAAAGCTATATTGATGAATTAGTTTAATGAATGATGATGACATTCTACCCTTTTAGATTAATTAGTTCCGTCTCCCAACTCGCTTTTGCAATTTATGCAGGAGAAAATTTACACAAACTGAAAACCGCTTGACCCTAATTAAACCAAGGGGTTGTTACCGGTGGAAGTTTTGAATAGGGATGAAATTCCGTTCGGAGAGTAAAGTTTGAATAGAGAAAAGTTGTTAAAAGGCATGAGAAAACGCTGCTGGAAACAAGTTACCGCAATTATGCTGAAAGTGTTTTTGATAATCAACCAGTTAATATCTTTCATAAAAGTATTTCCTTTATTTTAAATTAGTAGGAGTAGGTACATATTCCTTCACGATCTACTGAGAAAATAGTATGGAATCAAATGACATTAGATTATTTTTAATATTATCTTCCCTACTTACGAACACAGGTAGGCAACTCTTTGGGCGTCCAAGTACCGTCACTTTGACAAAATCTTTCACCCCTGCCGACTAGTTCGTACCCTTCAGCGCAGTGGTACGTAATCCGACAGCCAAAAGTATAACATTCGCCTGCGTGCCAACCATGTGAGATGTCTGTTGGCGGTCCACAAGATCTTGCTGAAAAAAGTGGCAATAATGTGATTTTTTTACAATTAAAGGGGCGTCTTACGTTCACAAGATATATCCGGTCCATACCACGATGCTTGACCCTCGATAGCCAAACATTTTGCTCTGGGGAATCCGTTAGTGACGTAGCCGGTATGACAGTAGTACTGTAGAGTAGAATCCAAATCAAATGTGGCTTGTTCTGGTAAAGCATTGTGTCGGGCATGGTCGATTGTTGGAGGGGATAGACAGTAGACTATTGGACAGATAAATTATAAATAGCTCATCGTCTATTATCAGTAGTGGTTATGAGCTTTCTGAGCTATATTATCTGATAGCTTATTCAAAATCTTGTTATTCGATGCTTGATTTTCATCCTCTAAACGGTTAGAATACATGTACATTGTAAATAGATAAATATAGCAAGAAGAATATGTTTGCATCAAATAATCATTCACTTTTTTTTTGTGGCTTAGACCCTATTTTTACTAGCAAGCGACATTAGTAGCTACTTATCACCGTGTCAAACAGAGAAGTGGCAATTTAGTTACACAAAAAAATATAATCTAAATTCAATATAAAAGTTTCATACCTTCATCAGAATGCCTGGATAAAGATATTTGGTATGCTTGAATAAAGATATTTGGTAAAAATAGGAAATACTGTGTAAACATTGGTATCAACAGGTTTCGCAGTAGTTTCACCGTCTGATTGAATAGCGTTACGGCTCTATTCTCTCCGTAGAGGATTGGTGGGGACGTCTCCGACCGAACCAATACCGAGTGACGCACCCCTCTAATTCTGTCTTTCTCTTTTCTTCGAACCTGCACTCTACTCAGTTGCATGGTTCGCGCATGTACCTGGAATACGAGCTGAAGGTGGTACGAATACGGAAACCTAGCAACAATAGTCCCGTGGAGCTATTTACCGATACCGTTATTTTTCCGCGATCTTATTACCGCGATTTTCCGCCACGTATATAGTACTTATTTACACATTCTTCTCGCCGATTTCGTTCACGCTCCCCGCTTTTCCTCTCTCATTTAATTGCCTTTTTCACTGTTCCTTTTATCTTATGTTATTGAGCAAATAAAAACTTCAATTTGTAAGTTGGATTCTGTGTTTCATTTTGAGGATGCGCATATTGACCTCTGGTTTTCCGTCCATCCACTGTTTAAAAGCTACCTAGTGCACGTGGGTCCTTAACCACTATAATCATAAGGGTGGCGCCCGAGTTTTCCGAAAACCCCGAAGCGACCACTTTCTCACCGGAAAACCAAAGTAGCGCTACATCACCAAACACATCCTGATGGAAACTGGAAATTGTTAATCCATGTTGCGCAAACTTTGATTGAAAATGATCTTAGATGCTTTGATGCTTTATTTATTGATACCTTCTTGATTCATACTGTGCCGTCCCAAGAAAAAATCATCATGCATTCGAAGGACAATTTTTTTGAATAAAATGCGATACCATGTTGCGATTTAAAAGCCGAGGTATTACAACCTGATTCTTATTTCAAGACCAACTATAAAGTTTTTCATGGTTACATCTAGAGGTCAATCATGATATATATCATTGTAACGTGTGACGCCATCGGTCAAGTAACTTAAGGTCACGCTTTTACGTGTAATGGTGGGGGGAGATGCAAGAGCGGCGAAAGTATCCTACTAATCAAAAGTAAGTTAGATGCAAACATCAGAGTACTTTTATCGAAAAATTTTCTCCAACACAAATACTTGTGAGATTATACGTGATTTGTCCGATCAGCTTAGGCACAGAGTAAGTTTTTTACTTGAATCACTTAGGTATTAAAAATGTCAACACAATGCTTCCATGTGTTTTCGACAGATTTATCTTTATAGTGTTATTAGCTGGGGTACCCGGCTTTGCTCAGGGAGTTAAATGAGATTGTGTGGTGTGGTAGATGGAATAAAGAACTAAGCTTTAAAATGTAAGGGGCACAAATTTTTCATCAAATATATTCTAACTAAAATAGTTCTTTATAAGCAACATTTTTCATTTTGTCATCCGGGGTATATCTACAGTGTGACAATTTGAAAAGTGGCAATCCGAAATATATCTTAAACAAAAAATACTACTAGAAATATCTCAAATACATACCTAGGGGTATTGGAGGGGGAACGAAAATGAGGCACTCAAGGGATAGATCACCAAATGAGTCATGGACTACCTTTTCAATTCCAAATAATGTGTTAATCATAATTCTATCTGCCTCTAAAAAGAAATGGAAAGCCTTTCAAAAGAGGTATCACAAGGGATATTCTTATTTTAGAAAAATTAATAGGGGCGGCTAGCCCCCAAGACAAGGAGGGGTGGGGCCGGGCCTCAATAAACACATTGGGTGTCCCCGATGTGTATTTGAGACTTTCAGAACCTAATTGTTTTGTCTAAGAGATAGTCAAAATTACTATTTTTCAAAATGTGCTTACTTTTGAATACCGATATCTCTCTTAAAGATTTTGCTACAGGACTGTAAACGGATAGCAACGAGATATCCAACGATGTACAACATAAGGTAGGTTCGTATTCAAAAAAAATAATTTAGGGTCGCTACCCCCTAAGGGGTGAGATTTTCCTGATACTATTTTTTGTCTAAGAGATATTCCCGATTGCTACTTTTTAAATTATCACCCTGTATGTATCATTTTTTCGAATTTCCTACTCGAGAGCAAGCTACGTACCGTGAGAAAAGCAGGAGTCTCCGAGGTTGATGTCGCAATATTTTAAAGTTTGTCCTTGCGCTTTGTTAATTGTAAAACTATAGGCTATTTTGTTTGGAAATTGCAGTCTTTTAAATTGGAATGGTAGTTCAGTAGAGATCAATGGCATTCTGTGGATAAATACTATGTGTTCTTTGTCCTTTCCAGTCATAAGTTCGGCTTCGATGATGTTATTCGATAAATACCTACCTGCTGTCGAAAATATTATTTACCTACGAGCGTGCGGTAAAGTGCACTTTACCGCACGTATTTGCAAATGGAAAGTATCACTTCACCGCACACTATGCAGTAAAGTGCACTTTACCGCATAGTGTGCGGTAAAGTTAACTTTACAGCATAGTATGCGGTAAAGTAGAATACAAAGTGTGCGGTAAAGTGCACTTTACCGCATAGTGTGCGGTAAAGTAGAATTTGATATTTATAATCAAAAATCCTCTCTTTTTCAGAAAATGGATTTTTGATCATTTCTAAATCTTATCTAATTTCATTAATTAATCTGATTCATTAATTAATTTTATCAATGCCTTTTTTTAGAGATGTAGATGCTCATAGGTGAAATTTTGTACCTAACACATGCGGAAAGTGCCTTTACCGCCCTTAACGGCTTGACTGCCGTTGCGTGCGGTAAAGTATCACTTTCCGCATTTGTTAGGTAAATAACTATTGTAGTTGATAAAATTGCCCTCTGAAATAGCCACTCTGGATAGGTATTACTGGTGCCGCGAGACGAGACTAGACGAAACTTAGGGTTGGTCTCGTCTCGTCTCGACATCTCGAGACGAGACCGTGATTTAGTCTTGGTCTCGAGTACCAAAGTCTCGTTTCGTCTCGAGTGGTCTCGTCTGGTCTCGAGTTATACAGGGTATCCAAAAATAGCGTAAAAACTCTTCTCTACGTGGTGGAGGACCCTACAAGGAACCCCAGAAAAATATTTTAAAAAATCTAGTGGCTTTCTTAAGAAAGTTATTTGCATTTTAATATTTATTAAATTTGACAACACTGAAAATATCCGGTTGACAATATGTCAGAAGAGAATTAAATTAAATACCCATGTAACTACCTGAAGAATTCGAAGGTGAATTTTCACATCTACTTCTTCATATTACCAAGAATAATGCTGGACAAGGATTTTTTTAGTTTAATTTTTAATTATTTTTTACGCTATTTTTCGGACACCCTATATTTATGGTTTTTGTTTTTATATTACAACAGAAGTCCAAACTGCCACAGTGAAAAAGCAGTTAGTGAAAAATCACAGTAAAGAGTAACCCTGATATTTAATTTACTGATTTCATATTCAAATAGCCCAGAATAGTCTAATAATAAAGCTACGAAAGAAAAATTTTAAGTGTAATCTCGAGACTTGAGACTACACAAGACTTTCGCCGAGTCTGGTCTCGTCTCGTCGAGACTTCACGAAACGAGACCAAAAGCCAGTCTCGTCTCGAAAAGTCGAGACGAGACGAGACCAGTCTCGAGTTTCGCGGCATCACTATTGGGTATAGTTATGAACAATGATGGATTTGGCCGATAAGTTTGTTTTCAGTAGTGGCTATGTTGCAGAAACCACTACCAAGTTCAATGAGGCCGGTCGTCTGTTCAACTCTCATATTTTTGTTAGTCGCGGTATTTTTATGTGTGGCCAGAGATTTTAAAGGATGTGTTGATTTCGTCTGCTGGTGTTGACTTGGGAATAACTGAAAGTGTTAATCGAAAATCTCCTAAGATTATGAGTAGAGCTCCTCGAATCACTTCAGAGTTTCCTAGCAAGTCTTGTAATGTGCTGTCCATGGCTCCGAGTGATTTTTTATGTGCCATCGTGCACTCGCCCAGAACATAATTTTAAGAAGAACGCCTCGTCTAGATGATCTTGAAATTTCACATACCGGGAATTGTTCTTTGTCTATATTCAATGGTAGTTGTAGGGCGTAATGGGCAGTTCGTCCTCTTTCCATAAGTGTGGCGGCAATGCCAGATGATGCCAGTGCAAGTGCAATGTGTTGTTTAGCACGTATTTCTGCGCCAGCAATAGATTAATAAGAAGTGTTTTCCCGGTGCCGCCTGGTGCGTCCAAAATAATTCCGCTAGTTTTGTTGTTGTTCCGGTCTATAGTTGTATTCCTTTCACACCTAGGAGGAGCTCCGGGGCGTTACGCGCTTATTCCTTTCGAAAAGTGTTTCTTGCACCCCACATCTCTCCCTTTAAAATCAGGGTTGACTAACACAGGAGCGAGTAGCTCGCGTGTTCCAAGCTCTTGAAAGGAATACAACTTATGATAACGTTGTAAATTTTTTTTTGATTGTCATTGAGAAGTGTTTGTGGTGAGCATTGTGAGCAATGTGTTGAAGTAGTTCGTTGATGCTATAGCTTTTTTCATTTGTAATTTCGCATCTTGCCGTGGTGCTGGCATCCCAAGTTGTACTGAGGTCTGGTTTTTTATCACTAAACATTCATCTGCTAGAAGAATGAGTGTTTCATTGGAAATGTCGTCATTGAAATCGATGGCCAGTT